ATTTTTAATAATAAAATAAAACATAGTGCACTTTTCAAAAAGAATGTTCAAAATCAAATCATATGAACTGAATAAAAAGATTTTAAAAATTTTTAAATTTTTGGAAAATTTTTGAAGTATTATAAGTATGCGGTGATGTGTATTTCTAACGAAAAAATTTGTATTTGTGTTTGTATTTTTCAGATATGTATATACGCAACTACAGAAGCGCTTCTTATTAAATTTTTTAAGGGAAATTTCTATTTTTATCAGTTTTTTAAAAAGAATATTGGTTCACGTCAGAAATTATAATTTTAGTATTTGGTTTTTGTACCTACTTGAATATTTTGTAATTTTTAGTATACTTTTTTTAAATACTGAAAAGTAAAAATTTCCCATCCAAAAAACTGAAAAGGAGAATTTAAAAAGCTGAAAAGTAGAAAAATAAAATGTTCACGTTTTTTTTGTATGAATTTCTAAGTCTATAAAATAGTTTCTGGCAATACAAAACAAGAAAATGATATGGACTAATTTTTTCTAAAAAATTTTAATTTAAAATAAGAATTATAAAAATAATAATAGCATAAACAAAAAAAAAGAAATTAAAATAAATAAACTAAAAAACATAAACAAGATAAAAAATTATATGGTAATGAAAAATGGAATTTGATATTGAAAAAAAGGAATTCTTTTTTGGCCTTTTTCCTTTAAGGTTTCGAAATTTACTTGAATGGGAAATTTCCCACGATTTGGTAACACTTTTGCAGGAACGAGAACTTGCGGCCACGGTGGTATTCTTGGGTCGTTTCCTGCGTTAATGGCCGATGCGATCACGAACTATTTTATCCCAAGATCGAACTTTGACAAGAATTTTTGTGTTGAGCTTCCCTCTCATGCCCTCTCTTAGAACCATAACATAGCAGCACATGAATAGGAGGATGAGTTAGCTAGGTGTGGCTCGGTCATGAACATCTCGGTGGCGGAACGGGTTATTGTTCCAATCAACGCAGTGAAATTGAATACATACAGAGTGATTCAGAAAGACATACAACAACATACACCATTGTTTAGAAGGCCGAAAATGGGTAAAACTTTTGTTCCGGACTAGATGCGAAATCTGGAGAATTTCCGAGATAAAGGGATTTTAACGAATTTTCACGAAATTTCTACTTATCCAAGTTTTTTTGATTATAACTTCCGTTCCGAAAAAGATTGGACAATAAGGAGACCATTTTTCACTATCTGTTCAAGCGTCTAAGTGGAGCCAGAATGGTCACATGAGACAAAACATGATCCACGGATCTTGACGAATATATCGAAAATTAACGCCAGGGATTTAGATCTCCTTAAGAGCACCGGGAGCCTTAGATAGATCGGGTGGTGATGTGCTACTGATAGCGAAAATGCACATTTGTACTAACTGGAATGCGATGGACCTGCTGCACGTCGGCACCATGTCTGCAATCAAAATACGAAAACGTATACAATTATTATTTGTTAAATACTTTTGGATACTAATCTCTCCCCAGCTTTTAAAAAAGTGATTAAAAGTTAAAAAACTTTTTAACAACTGAAAATTTTAGGCCGTCTAAAACTAAAAGGGTTATAACTTTAAACTGCATTAAAAAATGGTTATTACTATATTATGATCCACGGTTTTATGCTCAACGGTTATGTTATGTTTTATTATTTACTCCAATTGTATTTGCAAAATTGTATTTTAATTAAAATATCCCAGATTTTGTTTCAACTATCATCAATTTTTTATTTGATTACCGTTAACCTGTCTGAGTTTTCTCTGCGATATAATTGAAAGAGCAAAATCCATAACAATATCAATATTCATAGTTTTTGGAATGAAAAATATAAGCAAAATTTATAAAATTTGAGCTTCTTACCTCAAAGGCTAGATTAGGCAAAATACAAGGCTCTTGCATGTCAAATTTTAAAAACTCGGTAGTTTAAATGTAGATTAATTAAAAAAAATGTTTATTTCTACTTTATTTGGCTTTTATATAATAACATTTACATATGTAAATAAGTTAAATCATCTTGAAAAAATTAAGAAAAAAATTTAAATCTTAATATTCAAGCAAAAGAGTTAATAAATTAGCAAAGTTCGAATCAATGACAATTGTTGAATAAATCAGATGTACAGGTCCTCGATTTACGACGCATCTGATATACGCCGATTTGCAGTTACGACATCTTTGTTTTAAAATTTTCTAATTCACACAACGTTTTCTTGCAGTTACGACGTTTTTTCAAAAATGTGAAGAAAAAGAAAAAAATTTTATAGCGCTCATAATTTGTAGTTGCGTCGTTTTTGAAAATGTATTTTTTTATTTTTTGTTGTTTCAATACAACAAAACAACCACAAACTTTGATTATCTATGCATTTGTAAAAACAAAAAAGGCAATCTTATGGTACATATTATGTGCTGCACAAAACTTCACAAAGCAAAATTGATTCCCTTTTTCTAAACAAAACAATTTGTGTTTTAGATCTTATGATTTTAATTTTAGAATTTAGTTATCTTCATTATTTTTTTACATTTTCAGATTAAGGAAATATTTTGCAGATTAACCGAAAACTTTTACAAAAGAAATGGAGTCACCTCCAAAATTAACGAAACCTTTTTCAAAATAAATGAAACCCTTCATTCGATTCACATACTTTAAAAAAGCTTTTTTGGAATAAGTTTCGTTTAATTTGGAAAATGTTTCGCATATTTTAGACAAGGCTTCGTTTATAGAAAGTAGCTTTGTTACTATTGTTACTAAGTTTTGTTTTTGGATTTTTTAAAATAAAACTGAATTCATAAGTGAATTAAATATGCAATATAAAAAACGTACATATGTACATTATGTTGTAAATATATTTATTTATTTCAAGTTATATATATATGTACATATAAAAAAGGTATATATAATATACGTTACAAATGTATTAATTAATTTGCATTATTTTATTTAACTACATTCCTATATAAATATACATAATGTATGTTTAAAATTGTACAAAATTTTTACTGTATAAATTTTATATGTATGTACTCGCATGTATCTAGAGAAAAATTTTGTGAAAATTTTGAACTAAAACTATGTCATCTACTTTTTCAAAATAATTTTGAAAACTTCTCGTTGCATTAAACAATATTTCCTGGAAGGCGAAGCAAAATCTAAATTTTTATGAGTCTATTTGCCATTACCGTCGATGGGTGATAAAATAAAAAATATTATAGGAAATGGGCTATACAGAAAATATGTAAATAGAACCTAATTTGCAGCTTAATTCTTTTTGGAATATTATTCATTCCACAAAAAATAAACGCTTACGCTAGCCTATTGATAAAATCCGAAATGTCAGATGCAAATCAGATGCTTCTGACGTTGAAGCATTAAATATTTTCATGTAGTAAAAAAACAAACAAACGCTTACGCTAGCCTATTGATAAAATCCGAAATGTCAGATGCAAATCACATGCTTCTGACGTTGAAGCATTAAATATTTTCATGTAGTAAATAATCAGAGGCGAGCGCCAATAATTTTTTTGTAAATCTAACAAAGAGAACGAAAAACCAATGTCATAAAATGATACAAAAAATGTTGTTTTTTAAAAAAAAAAAACCACAAAATTAAATCTATTTGAGTGTAACCCAGCATTTACACATACAAGTTACTTGTATAATATTAATTGTCAATTAGTTTTTCGAAATGTCAAATTACTTGCTATTATGACGTAGGCGTTTAGCAAGTTAATTTTTGAAAATTTCTTTGAGAAGAAAACAACTAGCAATATATATAATTGTTTATAAATTTTAGAAACCATAAGTTTGCTAAGTTTAATTTTTTCAAAACAAAATTCAAAAATTTTAAATTAAAAAAAAAAAAAATCAAAACAACAAATTTTTTTTTGTGAATTTCTCAATGTGTCAAATTACTTGCTCAAATTACTGGCAGCAAAATTTTCTTGCAAGTTGAACTGCAAGTAAACAAGCAAGTAGAAATATTTCAATGTGTTAGTAAAATTTTTGTATGTATTGCAACTTTCTTGCAAGTAACTTGTACGTGTAAATGCTGGGTAAGATCTAAAATAAAGAACAATCAATTACTTGTAAACAAGTCTTTGGTTACCCTATGTCGCATGGTTCCGAAGTTATAAGCACTTAGTTATATGCAGGAAAAATCTGGTAACTTCTTTTTAGTACTGAACGGAAATTATTGAAAATTGTCTTGACCCGTCAACCATTTCACAATAAAACGCTTTAAATTAAGAATGAAAAAAAGAAGAGTTGTCTTTACCAAAGACAACTTTATATTTTTGTAATGTTTTTTTGGATGCTTGCCCTATAGTAATGTCTATTTACCATAACAGGTGATTGTAACATTGATTGAGAATCGTATTAACTATTTTCATTAATGATTTTGGTAAAAATGTTTTGTTTTTCAATTTACTTCAACTAGTTAAATGTTAAATTTGCTTATAAGAATTGTTACTATAAAAGCTTTCGTCAAAACGAAGAAAGGCGATGGAATTAAAGACGATTACGTCATCTTTGTGCAAATCACCTTTGTGATACGAAAAACTTTTAATTTAAAACTTTTCTCGGAAGCGATATTCTCAATTACCTAAGTTTTTATTTTTTAAATAAAGAAATTATTTAAAATTTCCTTCTTTCAAATAGTCGAGCTTTCGAAATTGTTCCTGTTTATAATTATTTCGTTCATTTTAAAAAAAAAAATCAAACAGTAACTCAGAAAACGTAAAGAATTCAGAATATTTCTTTATTAGCTCTCTATTTAGAATGTAAGTTTGTGTTTTATAAGAAAAGAGGAGAACTGAAAAGTCTGACGTTAATTTGAGTTACTCGCCAAATCAAACAGAATGTTTCATAAATATTTGTTTACTATTATATAATAGAACACATGTGACGTTATAAATAAAGTAGACGCAAATACAAATTTAAAATGAAAGAAAGACTTTTATATTAATTTTTCATTTTAAATATATATATAGTGTAGTACATTAACCATTCATTTAGTTTGTCTTATGATGTTTCGTGTAACGATTGCTGCTCTTGCGATTTTGTTGGCATTAATTTCTAATGCTAAAGCACAATCTTCTAATTCTTCATCCATCCCGCAAATTGAAGACCGAATAGTTAATGGCTCAGCCTTAAAAGTTGTAAATCGTAAGTTTCAAGTAGCTGTTATATTAGGACCATATCTTTGTGGTGGATCACTCCTTTCGATGGTAACTTTAAAAAAATAAATAATTTGAAAATACGCTTTATCGTAAATTGTGCATTTCTCTTTTTAAAATGGTTATTTGCTCTCTCTTTAGGAATGGGTTGTATCCGCCGGTCATTGCGTTAATGGACAAACAGCAAGTAATACTTATGTACGTGCTGGTTCTAATAATTGGGATTATGGTGGTGTTGTGAGATATGCAAAAACGCTTTTTCTTCACCCCGGCTTCAATCCGTCTAATTTATTTAATGATATATCTTTGATTCTTTTACAAAGTCCTTTTGTTCCCAATAATTATATAGGAACAATTTCTATAGCTAGTAATTTACCAGCAGCTGGCCAACAATTATATGTATCTGGTTTTGGTCAAACTTCGACGAATGGCAATCTAGCTCCGTATCTGGAAGGCGTTTGGGTTGATATGGTTTCATTTACTCAATGTCAACAATATTACAATAATCAATTATTATCAACAATGTTCTGCGCTGGAGATCAAGGCGGAAAAGGGTCTTGTCATGGTGACTCTGGTGGTCCTATAACATTTAATGGAAATTTAGTCGGAGTTGTTTCATGGGGATATGATTGCGGTAAGTATATGTGATTTTTTTATAAGATTAGTTAACACTTCATAACTATCTGCTTACATTTATTTGAAATTTTAATAACACATCCATAGTATAATATATATAGGTACTCACGTTATGTATATTTTAAAATTTTTATAGGTGACAATAATTATCCTACTGTTTATACAAGAGCGCCACTTTTTTCTTCGTGGATTCAAACTACGATGAGCAGTAATTAAGACTAGAATCCCTTTTACGGTTTGTATTTATTTCTATTGTTTATTTCGAAAGTAAAATTTGTGATTTATTAATTTTTCACACAAAAATGTAAAAGTTCTTAAATAAAATATACCATTAAATTGTATAAAAAGAGAAACAAAAATTTTTAATTCTAGTGCTAAGCATATATAGAAAAATAAAATAAAATTGGAAGAACAAACTGTGTTGGAATTGCCTTACATACAAGTTTATAATAAGCTTTACAACAAAAACATGCAAGGTTATTACCAGCATATAAATAAATATTTATGAATTGTTTTTGTTTGGATAGATTCCAGTGAAAATGTAAAGATGCATATCTAGGGTTTTCTATCAGAACATGATATTTACATTTTTGGCAAAAAAAAAGTTATAAGTGCAGTGTTACTTAAAATTTTAAGCGCTTTCTAATGGAGAAAAAAAATTTAATTTTTATAGTAGTTTTAAAAAGAAATACTTGAAGAATATTATAATTAACCAATTGTACCAAAAATGTTTCTGACAAAATTAGATTAACAGTCATTCACTTCTCGAGATCATAAAATTTTCTAAGAAGGCATTGAAATATAGATATGTCATGTTATGCACTTTTGAAATGAAAATGTATTCTAGTTTTCTTACCGCTTCGTTTCAAGTTGAAACGAAGCGGTATTTCATATTATTTATTTTTACATTTCATATTTAAATGTACATGTTGGTTATTTTCATGAAAAGCGCGTTTAAAAACATTTAAAACGAGAAAAAATATAGTTGACCGTGTCAGTACGAATTTGTCAGTACTAAATATGCCATAGATGGAACAGACTATAACTTTAAGTTGTCGTATTACCATATTAACTAATGCAAAATTGCAGTACTGTCTCTTCAATATTTTCTAAGATATGGCCAAGCTACTATTAAAGTTCTATCGCAGCAAAGAGCCAATCAACTTCAACGACTTTTATCAATCATATTGACCTTACTAATATATTCGCTTATGTGAAATTTTAATATGACAGCTTTTATAATTTCTGATATATAGCTAAGGAACTTTTGAAGTTGTATGGCAGCTACCATAAGGAGCCAAGCAATTTCAACGACTTTTGTCAAACACATTGATCCTACTAATATACTTACTTGTGCCAAATTTCAACAGTATAGCTTTTATAGTTTCTAAGATATGATTAAACAAATTTTGAAGTTGTATGGTAGGCCCGAACCAGTACTCCGATTATATCGAATTTAAATAGGCTTCTGGCATTTACAATAATAAATCATTTGTAAAAATTTTGTGAACTTAGCTCAATTGGTTTCTGAGTGATCGTGGAGACGGACGAACGGACACAGACAAAGCTAAATCAACTCAGAATTAGACGCTGATCAAAAACATACACTTGAGTCTATATGTCAGAGCATTATTTCTTAGCGTTACAAACGGTAAGGCAAATTTAGCATACTCTTCGAACACACGTTCGTACGGATTTAACTAGATAAGTGAACTTAACTCAGATAAGTGAGCTGAAGCTTCGATTAATACTAATTGCAATTGAAAAAAGTGTATATCTTATTTGAAATAAAAAGATATATTAAAATTTTAATACTATGCATTATATAGTAGGATCTAAACTATGTAATATTTAGTAGCATCATGGAGATGGTTTTAAATGACGCAACGCAACAGCTATATGTTCTTAAATATTGGGCGTATCTAAAAATTAGCAATTATTATAATTATTTTATCTTACTTAAACAAAGTTTCTTTGTAGCTCTTCTCTTTGCCGAGTTACATCTTAAAAAATTTGCAAAAGATATAATTTTTAGCTGGTTAGTTCGTTAGAAGTAAGAATTTTTTTCCACCTCCAACCCCTCTCAAGTTATCGCCTCATGAAATTGGAAAATTTGGATTTTTGCCATCTTTTACTACAAGTTTTTCCAAATTTGCATAAATGCAGAGCTAACGGTACCGGTAACTACCATGCTCTTAAACAAAGTATAACTGTTTTCCTGAACTCGCGCAATTAACCTTTAGATTCGAGCATTATGTTAATACCTCTTTCAATTTTTTTTCATTTTACTTCAATTATTGCATACAGTACTCATCCTGAACGTATGCAATTTTTGCACAATATTCGTATATGAATGAAAATAATTTTAATAATGCATGATATAGCTTGATTATTTTCACTTGTTGAAGGGAAAAGTGCTACATTACAAATCAATGACCCAACTTTATCCTGTATGATATTCTTTAAAAGTTTATATTTCTATTATATAATTAACGGAATAAGATTTTTTGTTTCAGGACAAACACATAAATGTTTGTCATCATTGATCATTTTGAATTCCGGTACAAAAGAAAATTTTGCCTAAATGTATGTGCAAATTATTTGGTTTTAAATTCTCATAAATTTTTCTTTCGATTCTCTAAATTTCATTTCTTTTTTCCAAAAAATAAAAAATAAGTGGCAATGATCTAATTACATTTTTATGTGATAGATTCATTAAGTATTTTGTTGATATACATATAATAGAACAAGTAAAAACGCCTCAGGCGGTATAAACCAATCGAATTATACCCTGCACCTTGAAAACCTGATTTTAAAAATTTGTTTATGAAACATCTAGATTTAGCTCTCATTAGAGGGATTTATCAGACCTGTTACTAGACAGCCGAGTTTCATGAACCTAATTTAATTATTTTTTCAAATATTTGAAATTAGTTTTTGTAGTTGAATGGGAGTTATCCAAACCTTTCAAACCATTCCGTCAAAACTTCAGGGAATTATGTAACCTATAATTAGACGCACGACTGTCAATGCTCATGAACCTAACTTTATTACTTTTTCGACTATTTTATATTTGCTTTTGGAGTTGTGTGGCAGCTACCTAAATCTGTTGAGCCTTTCCGTCAAAACTTTAGGAATATATGTGACCAACAATTGGACACATCACTGCCAAGTTTCATGAATCTAGTTTTATTATTTTTTCGGATATATAGAATTAGCATTTGGCGTTATATGGCAGCTATCATTGAAATTGAGCTAGATTGTTGTAACAGTGCAGGCACTTCATTTAAATTTTTAAAACGTATGAAAAATATAATTCGACACACTTATGCAAAATTTAATATTAATATCTTTATTAGTTTTGAAAAATTTAAGATGTATGGCAGCTCGAACCCGTTGTCCGAATTGGTTCAGTTACATCCTTAAAGTGGCCCATCCTTGACACATAAGAAACATTTTGTGAAAGTTTGATGTCGATTACATTATTAATTTTTAAATTATCGCGCGATCGGGTAGACGGACGGGCGAATAGATATGCCTAAATCAACACAAAATATATACATACGTATACATGCATGTATATATTTTGCGCTGAGCAAGTATATACATAAATGTGCATACCGGAGTGGTTATAAACTCCATGCCAAAGTGAATATACCTTTCACGAAAGTGCGGGATGTGTTGTAGGGTGTTGCAGGATAATATTTTGAGTAAGAAAATCACATTTGCGTTGTTTTTTTATAAGTTCTTTGATTCGCCATGTAAAAAATAGGTTGTTAGTTTACTTTCCTCACAAACACGACATATTTTCTAAACTCTATTTCGTTATTTCCTGTCTCTAATGGCTTTACTTTTTCAATAATATTTTCATTAATGGACTGGTTAAATTACTACCGTTTGATTTACATTTATGTATGTGAGGAATGTATTTAATTATTATTATTATTAAGGAATGTATTATTATTCAAAAACTGCAAACATGAAATAGTTTTATATTACTCAAGCTACATTTTATTTGCAAAAATTTAAATTGAACATTTTATTTTGGTGAAATACTTTTCTATTTAAATGCGATTTTTTTACTTCAAATTCGCCATTTTTCAGTTCAATTGAGCTTTCTAAATATGAATTTTCGAATAGAGTTCAATTTTCCTTTTTTATATTATTTATAGTAATTTGTAAGTTTCATCAACTATTAATTTAATTTATAATGACGTATTATATTAGAGATTTTCATAAACACAATACTGCAAAACAATAATGTGATACATGCGCAATATGTTTTTGACAGTTGTATAAAAACTTGAATTTGCAGTATTGTGTTCATGAACAAAAATTATCTTTAACAAAAAAAAAATTTACTTTTTTTGGGCCAAGTAGTGGAAAATTCTTTTTTAGGAAAGATAAAAATTAAGAAAAATAAAACAAGACAGCTGAAACAAAAAAAAAAATGTTATTTTCAAGTACAATAATTAACAATTAAAAATGTAAAACCAAACTGTAAAAACTAGTAAAAAAAAGTATAGCTGATTTAACTGCGCTAGCCATGAAAATTTAGATATTTTTGTGACAGATTAGTAATGTTTATAAACAAAATTGATTAGCAACATTTGTTTATAAACGCAAATATATAAATAAAATATTTTAATTAGTTTTTATAAGATTCAAATGGTGCATGTTTAAATATTATAAAAAGAGTAACTCCTAAACAAGAATTGCGAAATGTCCATGTCGACCTTGAATAACGACCGAAATCGGATGAGAAAATTCGAATATTAATAGAGAAATTTAACAAGCTTTATTTGACCACTTTATTTGACAAGACCAATATGAAATTGATATTTTTGTATTCCGAAATTTATTTTAAATTGTTGTCTTATTTTGTATGTACCATTTTGTATTATACAGAAATTAATATCATATAGCTTAAAATCTCCTTTTCAAAAAATTTTTAATTGATTTTATTATGTTATCACATTTACTATATTTTTTTTCTCAGAAAATTTCAGAAATGATGAATGTAAAAATATTTAATTTTATACTATTAAAAAATATACTTTAAGATTAAAACAAAAAAAAACGTAAGGCATTTTTAAAATTCAGAAATTAGAACTATTCTACGATTTTTATGTAAATGCATTTTTATGATTTTTCATATATAACTGATAATTTGTATGAGCCATTGAAGCTCACTAATTAATATAGTAATTAGGAAAATTTTATATTGGGAAAAGAAAAGAATTTGTTTGAGCTTTTGTCTATAGGGAATTTGTTGCCAATTTATTTTCCATTTCGAAACGCATTACTGGAAAATATATGTAAAAATACGGACAGTGTATACGTGTACCAGGGTCCTCACTCCAATTTATCCCTTATTCGGAACTGAAATATTTTACCGTATTTTGTCTTATGTTATATTCCTTTAAAGAAATAAGTTCCAAGTTGAATTAGAAATCATCTATTCGCTATAAGAAGCTATCGAATGGGTTAAAAGTGTAAGTAAAATCTTTTGGCTTTCCATTTTCTCCCAAACATAAAGTGAATACATTTTCTATTTAATATTATGGCAATGACTTTAAATTCGCATAACTATGAGGTATATTATCACAAAAACAGCCCTTTTTTTTTAGTTTGCTCCTAAGCCATAGAATATATGGATTATTATTTTCCTTTTTCACTCCTAGGAGGAGCATATAGCGCTAGGCCGTGATATCATAGATAGTCATGCCCCCGTTTCATTGCGTGATAGAGTTTTAACTAGGTAGGTGACTAGTCTGTCATAGTTTTTTTCTTTATATTAAATATTTAAGTTTCTTAATATTTATTATTTATTTTCTTTAGTTTAATATCGAATATTATGAATATATATGAAAATTACTTGTATACCGATTTTTTATTTTATAAATAATGTATATTAAGTTATAATATGACCAAAAAAGTCGTTTACCAATCACCGTCGTGAAGGGTATGTTCACTTTGTAATGGAGTTTTTAAAATTCGGCGTTGACTTCCATCCGTCCGAATGCACAATAACTGAAAAAAAAACGATGATGCAATCAACTCCAAACTTTCACAAGTTTTTTTCTTGTACCAACGACGGCTGCTGTTGCAATTGGACCGATTCGAATACTCCAAGAGGGTTTTTCCAAATATTTCAAAATAAAAGCTAAAAGAGATATTAAATCAAATTTGGTAAAGGTGTTTCCCATTACTTTTTACATGTAATTTGAAAATTTTAATGAAATGGCTGCAATACATGGGCCATTTATGAATTTATATTAAATAGAATATCAATTTAATAGAATATACATTTAACGAAATTCATGAAACTTGAAAGTCTAATTACAAGTCCGATATATCCCTGAAGTTCTGATGGAATGGCTTGACAAGTTCGAGTAGCTGCCACAGAACTCCAAAAACTAATTTAAAATATTCAAAAAATAATAGAAGTAAATTCATGAAGCTTGGCAGTTGTGTAGAGGTCAGGCATAATATTTGTGAAGTTTCTATTGAGTGGTTTGACAGGTTCGAGTAATTGCCATATTTAACAATGAAAGCTAAATCTAGATATTCCGAAAACAAATTTTTAAACTCAGATTGTCAAAGTGCAGGGTGTTATTCCGTCGGTTTGTGCATTTTAAAAATTTAAATTCAGTATTTTATCTTTTATCTATGATATTGATGTAAAGCATTGAATTGTTAAAATTTGTCGAAATATTATCACAGAAAACCACCTGTTGTGGTTTAAGAAACTGACACTGTAAGTCAGTTTATTAAATCGCTGTACTTAAGGATGTAGTTCATATTCAATATAGGTTTAAGTCTCAGATGAATTTGGTTATTATTTAATCTCATAATAAAGTTTACTGTATCCAATAAATTTTTTGCATATATGTTTGATTATATTGCATTATAATATAATAACCATGTGTGCAGAATGTACATATTTATATATGTATATTTATACGGATTATGGTTATAATATACACATTTTATTATCACCTACATCGATTTTCTTAAATGTTAAATGACTATTGATAATTTCTTCTTTAAACTTCTTTTATTTGGATGCATTACTATGCATGCAACCTCAAATTGATTATGGAAATCATAATTTTGGCAGAACTTCCTAAAAATGATCATGTGCTCATGATTAACATTTTTATGATATTAAACTGAAATTTACATACTTCTTCTCTCTCCCTTTTTTAAGTTTCTGTTAAAAGTTTTTAAATATCGCAGATTATTTGAAAACTTTATTCTTGCACCATTTAAAAAATTAAGAAATGTAGGAGTTTGTGTAGATTGATCTATTCGAGAAATAATTTTCGATGGTGAATTATATACTACAAAAATGGACATGTTGATTAACTATAGAAAAAAAAACTTTTTTTTTGACTATATTTTGTCCGATCTTGTAAGTAGTTGACATACCTTTTTTCTTTAAACTCGAACACATTTTTTGTAGACAAACGAAAGAATGCTGACGTCCAAATAAAATCAAATAGTTTGTTTTTTAAATTTTTATTTGTTTAATTTCTTTGTTACAGTTTATATTTAATTTTGTTTAATTATGAAATTATTTTAATAATTTTATTTTAATTATGAAGTAACACAAATATTATATTACGTTATTAAAAGATTTTTAAAAACAATCACAAATACAAATATCATATGTATTGCAAATAAACTAAAACAAGTAAATTTTGTGCCTTTAAATATAGAGTAATACATTAATTATTCATTCAGTTTCTTCTAAGATGTTTCTTGTATCAATTAGCGTTTTTACCCTTTTCTTGTCATTAATTACTGATGCTCAAACACAATCTTCTAATTTGACATCCATCCCAATCGGAGATGATCGAATAGTTGGTGGCGCAGCGATAAAAGTTATTAATCGTAATTTTCAAGTAGCTGTTTTACTAGGACCATATTTATGTGGTGGTTCATTACTTACGATGGTATATTAAAAAATATTATTTATTTTATATTATGCAAGTAGTATACTTTTCTTCAATACTTTAACTTATTTTAATTTTAGGAATGGGTTTTAAGCGCCGGTCATTGTGTTAATGGACAGACGGCGGCCAAAACATACGTACGTGCTGGATCAAATAATTATAATTATGGTGGTGTTGTAAGATATGCAAAACAACTTTTCCTTCACCCCAATTTTGATATAAATACGTTAAATAATGATATTTCTATGATCCTTTTACAAAGTCCATTCGTTGAATCTCCTTATATAGGTACAGTTTCAATAGCATCTGCTTTGCCACCAGTCGGTGCACAATTACAGGTATCAGGTTTTGGTACGACTTCATCTGGTGGTAATTTAGCCCCATATTTGGAAACTGTTTATGTAAACATGATTGCATTATCGCAATGTCAATCAGATTATAATAATGAATTAACTAGCACAATGTTTTGTGCTGGAGTTCCCAATGGTGGAAAAGATTCATGTCAAGGTGATTCCGGTGGTCCACTCACATATAATGGCAAATTAGTTGGAGTTGTTTCATGGGGTGATGGATGTGGTAAGTATTAACATAAATATGCATATAGATTCCAAATGCCGGTAATATATTTTTTTTTTACATATAGCCACAGCGGCACATCCTGGTATTTATACTAATGCACCATTATTCATTTCTTGGATTAACAGCACGATGAGTAGTAATTGAAAAAATTCAATTGAAAATACAAAAAAGTACTAATTTGTGCATAAAATATAGCAAAAAATTTTGAAGATTTACTTTTACGGGTGCATAATTGACTTTTTTAAGGGATACGTTTAAATTGTTTTTGAATTTAATAAAAAATTACAAGATTTTTTTAATTAAGTACAATGTCATGAATAATTTTAAAAATTAAATAAAGTAAATTCACTACTTAATCTTTGTTGAAATATAATTTACGAAGAATAAGGGCAAGAGATATTCAAGAATATGTGGCGCTAATAATAAGAATAGTATTACGAGTACTGCGTATTATTAATGAAACCACACAACAGGCTTAAAGTAAGCACATATAAAGTTAATAAAAAAATCAAACGTCTATTTAGTTGATATGCTAAGGATCATTTTATTTCCTGGAGTAAAAGCTTATAAAAAATTATGTAACTTAAAAATTATGAACAGCTTGACATTTTACTTAAACTTGAAATTTTCGTAACTCATATATTAAATTTAAGAAAATTACAAGATATTTTTTATTAAAACTTATTGTGATTTTTTAACTTCCATTTGACTGTGATTAACTTCCATTTAATTGAGTCAAAAAATTACTTTACTTACCATTTTTACTTACTACAAACGGTTTCAGAAATACAAAAAACTATAAAAAAATTAAGTAACAGCATTGCATATGCAGTTTTTAGTGCTAAACGGAAGACAATTTTTGTATTCACACAATAAGTTACTTTTTTGACTAAATACTAGTAAGTATACGCATTGACTGAATAATGTTAAAAATTAAGGTAAGAAAAACATGTGTATATGTTCTGTACTTATTGAACTATGCGATTAAAAACGATTTACCATGAAAACGGACAAATTTTAAAAAAATATGTACAGGAAGTTAATAAAGTATCTTTTTTACTTTCTTCTAAAAAATTTGGAAATGCCAGCAAATAACATTTATTTCATGATTTAGCAACTTCGCGATTTAGTATTAGCAGCATTTTAACTGTTTTGTAATATTTATTTAGTGTTTGAAGAAAAAATGTATCCATATTTCAGAAAAATTTTAATATGTAGCCAATTTTGGCATTTTAGCAGACATTTGAGTATCTTTGTATCCAAGATCAAATTTAAAGCAAAAATGTATCCAAATGGATAGAATTGTATCCTGGCAGTGTGTATTAAGTTTTTTCAATTTGAAACAACGCTACTCAAAAAAAGTAATTCTATTGTGTAATTACAAAAATTGTCTTCCGTATATCACAATAAATTATTTACACGTAATTGTAATAGCAACATGTAGAATAATGAATATAACAACTCCACCCTTTGTGAGTATTCCACCCTTCGGAATTGAAAACACTGTATACATAATTTTTGTATATGTAAGTCTATAGGTAGAGCGTTAAATTATGTTTTTCTTACCTTTTGATGTTTACTCAAATTCAAACAAAGTTCAAACAATGTTCAACAACCGTTCAAATAATGAAATTTTTTTTCCATATTTACAAAAAATTATTCAAATTGAAATGATTTAGTTATCACTTACATAGTGTAATAAACATAAACGATCAGCCAATTCAAATATACCTAATAAGTTATAAGTCTTTCACTCAAAAATGATTTAACATAAAAATAAGGCAGCTCTTAATAAAAGTTTTGCACATTTTTCTTGCGAAGTCTGTATTAAAACTGTATTTAATTTTTCTAATATTTTATTTTTCAAAAAAAAAATTTTTTTACTAATTTTCAAAATTTTTATGCTGTTTAAATATATTAATTATATAGAAACCTAGCCACAATTTGTTTTATATAATGAAAACTAGATTTTTTTTATTTTATTAACAGGTTTATTGCAAAAAAAAATCTCAAAAAGAGCTGCGATATGTGCTAGCTCTTACGAAGTTTACTTTTGGTTTACATAAGTAAACAATATTTATTGTTTACGTAAGTAAGTCACATTTATTGTTTACATATTATGTAAACCAGGGATGGCAAATAGGGTTTGATCAAAGTGCCAAAATTTGGGGAAATTTATTGTCACACTTTTTCCCGTGCCAGCACAGTACCAAGTACAGGTATGGTTAGGTAAATACAATATTATGACAAGTTGTAATAATATTTATTTATACATATTATAGTTCAAGGTATAAAAATTAATAAATACAGATAGAAAAAATATTAATTTAATTTTTTATCAGAAACTTTTTGTTTCATATTACTTGCAAGAGTTTTTATGTCGGGCTGGTACATTGTTGACTGCAGAGTAATACATGCTGCCGAATCTTCCTCTGTTAATCTGTTTCTAGTCTTTGAATGTACATGATTCAAAACGGAAAAAAGACTTTCGCAAGAGTAAGTGGAAGAGAAAATCGTTAACAACGAGATTGCTAATTTTTTGACAGAATAAAAGGTATCTGGCATACTATTCCAAGCTTCTAAAATTTTACTTTCCATGAAACATTCTGATTCCACATTTTGGGATCGATGGCTTTCTAAATCTTCAACAAGCTTCCGCATATTCACAAAATTATTTACCCAAATTGGATTGGATTGCAGATCAATAATTTGCATTTCTAAATTATCTAATCGCATCCAATTAAGGAGGTTATTGTCACAATCTTGCATATCAAATAAATCTGGGTAATTAATAATTTTTAAAATATTTTCGATCCTTTTAAAATCGAGAAATCTTTGTGCAAACTGTTGCTTAATAGAAACAAGAATATTTGTAAATTCATAGGTGAAATTCCAATTAGTTTTTTCAAAAATGTGTATTTCATCAAAAAAAACTTTTAGTTTTCGGAAATATTCAAATTTTCCAGATTCGATATCTCTAATGAAAATATCTAGTTTAACTTCAAACCCCTTTATAAGTCCAAACATAACTTCAATCGTCTTCCCACGCCCTTGCAATTTTTTATTTAGAGAGTTTAAATGTAATGTTAAATCAGTGAAAAACATTAATTTTGTTAGCCATTCTATGTCATCAAGTTCTTTAAAATCGACCCTATTGTTTTCACGCAAAAACAGACGTATTTCATCCAAGCAGCTCACAAATCTTTCTAACGATATGGCCCGGCTCAGCCAACGCACGTTATTGCACATTAAAAGAGTGTCATATCCACAATCGACATCATTTAAAAGTTTTTTAAATTGTCTTTTGTGCATATCACGTGCAACAATAAAGTTTATAATTTTATTAACTTTTTCTGAAACTTCTTTTAAATCGCTAGTACCTACTTTTGCACAAAGCATTTGCTGGTGAATGATGCAATGAAATCTTATAATCGGATGTCCGACATGTTCTTGAAATAAATTAACAAACCCTGTTGCCGGACCAGTCATATTAGGTGCTCCATCCGTTGTAATAGAAACAATTTTTTTTAAATTGAGATTAAGGCTTTTTAATTCATTAACAACAACTTCACAAATATCTGCACCTCTTGTTCTTTCCGGTATATTTGCTAATTTCAACAGCTCCTCGCGTATTTCATTCCCTTTTGAATAACGTGCAAAAATTGCTAATCGGGCAGACGAGTTTATGTCAGTTGTTTCATCCAAACAAATTGAGAAGAAATCGCAACTATTAATATCGGTTTGAAGTTGTTCGGAAATATTAATGCTCATTTTTAAAATTCTTTGTTTAATAGTATTTCTACTCATCTGTAATTCTTGTATTCTTTGGAGAATTTTTTCCTTATTATTGAAATCTTGGAACAAACTGGAAGCAGCTTTTAACATAAGTGTTTTTATAAACGTTCCGTCAGAAAATGGTTTCGAGTGTTTAGCAATCAAATAAGAAATTTCAAAACTCGCTTCTGTTATATTATTAGGAGTTTTTACAAATCTTGAAAACAAATTTGATTGTTTTTCAACATCTTTTAATCGTTGTGATATTAATTCTCTTCTTTCGGCAATATTTTTTTCAGAAATTTCCCTGTGATTAGTTTCAAAATGTCGTTTAATAGAAGATGTTCGACATACAATAACTTCGGAACACAGACCACAACGACTCTTATCTCCATGTTTAAAAAAGCCGTAATCAATTGTCCAAGATGGTAAAAAACTGCGAACATCCTGTAGTTTTTGTTTTTTTATTGGTGACATGTTAATGGGGTAAATAATTAAATCTAAAATTACACGATAAAAATTATATATATTTAAATAATGTTTATTTGTTAAATTAGTTCATTACCGAAATCAAGTTTAGAGCTGTAAAAATATTTAGCATTAGAAATTGGTCGATGTTTTTCATTCACTTTCTATTAGAAGTATTTTCAATTAAAAATAACGGTAAAAAACTAAACACGACACGTGTTGTGTAAACTCAGAAAAACAATTATGACATTCACTCTTGCTAACTTCGCTCCAAATGAAATATGGATAATTTTTCATACCCTAAAAACCACAACTTTTTTGTTTTAAAAAGAAAACTTCAAAGTTTACTATGTTTTTTCTTTTTTGAAATTTTTGAATACTCAATGCATTTTCAAAGCGGTTTGAATTGTTTTTTCGTTTTCAATTTTTTTTCAATACTTTACTTAGTGAAGTGAAAAAAAAAAACAAAAATAAAAAGAATATAACATTTGAATACATATGTTTGGTTTTGAATATTTGTCATTTCGCTATTAGGAAATTATCATTTTTAGGAAATTTTTCATTCAATCAATTTTTCAACGAGTTTTTAGATTTTTTATTAGAAAAAAAATCTATATAAAAATTTGTCGAGGCACAACTATAACGTGCCATCAAATTTTTTTTCCGTGCCAAGTTTGGCACGCGTGCCCTTTAATTGCCATCCATGATGTAAACTTTATTTGTGCTACCATATGTGCTATATGGACTGCAAGCTGAATTCTTATAAGAAGCTATTTTATAATTTTTTTGTAGCGTTGTTTTGTAATGTCTGCTCTATATATTTTACTTTTATTCTGTTCCGTAAATTAAAAGATCTTATGTTGTGTTAGAACGGAAAAGTCTATAGATGCTTTTCTAAAAAT